AGTGATCCAGACTAGATCTCACGATCTGGTAATTATCCAAGATTTATCTCACAACTTTGAAGTAGCTGAGAAGGAATATCCATGATTTCTTGACGAACCAAAGTAGATTTCACAGCCCCTGGGCCGTTTTATCATTTCTTCGCGGCTTTTCAATCATGACACTGCGTTTACCGAGCAATTGATTCACTCCTGTTTCTCAATTTAGGCATACCCCACCGTAAACCAATCGTCAATTTTCACAAAAACGAAGCACTCGATCTTCCTATTTGAACATTGAGCAGTAAATTGCCCGCCGCAATGCTTTAATCATCGGGGAAAGTTACCCCTTTATTTCGTTCACTGTAATTTGAACGTTCGATCGTATTCTCGTCTCTAATATCCAGCGATTTGGCGACTCTTTTAAAGACAGAGGTTGCCGGTGATCGTTAATAAGAACAATTCATAAAAGGAGTTAAATAATGGTGTTTTACACGTTTCACAGTTTTATACTCTATTTTATACCTGTTCCTGAATTGTACGATTATAAGGTACTTATCATGCGTAGTGAAATAATTTGCATAGTAAAAGGAGGCTTTACAGGTTACATTCTTTATCAATTCAATCGGTTTTATCGATAAAACTGTGTAATTGGCGGATCGGTTGGCTTAATATGAACAACTGGGTACGAAGTTACCGTGCTGTGCAACGGAAGCCATGAATTTTATTAGCATGCGCTTTGGAGTATTTCGTTCGGAGCGTATAATTATCGCACAGTGCATCTACAGCTTGATCGGTAGATGAACTATCGAAAGCTGGATCTCGAGCGAAAACAGCATTTATCTGTATGAGACGTGCATGGAACCGGTTGTGAATCTTGTTTATCAGATAGATCAATCAGAATCTCGATAACAATGTGTTACGATGCTAATTACATTTCTTTTCTCTGCCAGAATTATTATACCGAGAACTTTGTTCTTCCCATAAATGTAACGTTACTCTCCCATAGACGGTTTCCACGTGTGTTTCGTTACGATCCAGGTTTATCGTGCTCGCTAATATCGTGACTATTGAGCGGTTTAATCCGTCTGTCTGACGAGTTAAAAATCGTGACACGGTATACCTCGCAATAATTGCCCGAACTTTCACCAAATAAGAATAATATCGGTCGACGACCAATAAAATTTTGATAAGCGCATTATAGTTGCGCGCGTTCATGCACTACTTACCGTTCTCTATCTCGGGGAACTTTATTTAACCATTTTGCATGATTGTACCCGCGGCTAGCGTGCGTAAGGCAATGATCGAAGTCACGGAAGAGTATTTATAGCATTCTGACATGTAAAGAATTGCGTAGGGCGTGTGTTGCGCATATTGGGAAACTTGGAAATGTGAAAGTTTGAAAATTTGCATACTTGAAGATTGGAAAATTTGAGCATCTGGAAATTTGCATGCTTAAAGATTGAAAAATTTGTGTATTTGGAAATTTGCATACTCAGAAATTAAAAAATTTGAGTATTTGGAAATTTTAAGATTTGAAAATTTTAACATTTGAAAATCTTAACATATGAAACTTTTGATATTTGCAAATTGTAATATTTGAAAATTGGAAAATTTGCATATTTCAGATTGAGAACATTTAAACATTTCGATTCCACTCATTACTGGAAGACACTCGTCTTCGTCCGAGGTTCTACGGACCAAGCTTCTACTTATTACAGCAAAAAGTAGACTTCATCTTCGTCATAATGACCGCGGGCAAAACATTAATTTACTGTTAAGTAACACGATGACTCCTACTAATTAATTTCTACTACAGTTGTTAAGCAACTTTTTGTCCCGATGTAAATACTAGTACGTCCAATTTGTCTCATTTGATACTTCTAATTATATTAGACTCCATTACCAACGATCGCACAAGAAGCGCTAAACGTGCTATCAAGAATTCACACGTGTACTTCGCGTAAACGGAACTGTCTCTCACGAAGATCTATACCTTTTATAATTTATAGTACATATCATCGATGAAATCACATCGTTTCTATTCATGAACTCCTCGACTTCAACAACGTCTTCTCTGTTCATCGTCTAACTTACAAAAATAGCTCGCATCAAAACACTTGCTTCAACCAACAAACCGTTCCATTGATCACCAATTAATCCCTAATTCCTTACATCGTATCGATCACGTGACAGTCGTGAAACTTCATCAAGCAAACTCATTAATTTTCAATCAACCCTTCCCAGCAGAATAACATCTGCGAAAATTCGCTCGATCGGCCACGACTTTCTCGAGGCGTGTACCTAACGTATAATTGAAATGTGATTGAATTTTAATGTCCATCACGCCTTAGGTATCACGATCGCGAGTATTCGTTCCAGCGGTGGCTCTGTAATTGTAATTGGGCAACGGCTTGAATCTGTCGAGCAACATCTGAAAAAGAAGAGCGTTTACCTTATTCTTCCTTCGCTTTCCACATTCCAGGGGTGAGGATTATTTTCAAGCCTGCCTGGCCGCCTCTTATCTCGATCGTACACGCGGTATTAATGAAGTCCACGATACCCGTAATTAGTGTCACTCGTTCCACGCGAACCGGGTATCCACAATGTAGATTTTAAGGGGACCCGAGGCATGCCGGCTGTGGTCGAGTTTGATCGGTGAAAGGCCGCGTTTCTTTCGTTGAAAATATCACGAATCCCGTATTCGTTATCGAAAATTATCGTAGGAACGAGGCACGCGGCGGAACGCCCCTAAACTAAGAAGTTAACGTCACTTTGGTACGCCACCGTGGCGCACAAGCGGTGATTTTCGCCGCGAGAAAACCTGAAGTTGCTCCAATTTATCTCGATTGCTACGGATAGTCCGCTCTTGGAACCGGTTTTCCGATCGATTATTTATCGCTGCGATATCCTTTCCCTTATTGTCTCGTAAAATTAGCATTATTGCTAATTAATTACGAATCTTTTTTCTCATCTCGTCGATAATTTTACTCGAAGCTCGCCGTGTGTGTAATCGAACCCGCTCGAAGAGTCTGCGCGCTCGTGTGTGCAGCGTGGAATACGAAGCGAGCGAGTTGAATTCGAATTGAATTTACCTGGTTCCCCCGGTTCGTCGTTTATTCCGTCCGCGAAAGGGTCTCCTAGGTTTCACCGTTTCTTCGGCGTGGATGGATTATTAGAAAACCGGATATGGTCCGAGGGAGATAAAGCTGATTTACGACGAACTTGGGTACGCGCGTTTCGCTTAGGCCGATGATAATTTCTCAGGTCGCCCCGCGTGCTGCCACGGTTTTAACTACCGTGGAGTAGAGCAGAGGGAGAAGTATCGTTGGAAGCGGCGTGGCGCGGACATTTTCACTCGAAACCGATTACATCCCAACGTGGGAGTTGCCGGGATAATGACATCTCTGGACATTTCAGATGCCCGATTTGGTATGACTACTGTCGACCCCCGTTTCCCGTTCACCGTGCCGCCGCTACCGATTACACCTTTCAATCTCCGACAGGAAATTCCATGTTGAAGTTTCGAACACCGACCGGAATTCCAACGGATCTAACTTCGCTGGAGAATGAGCCAAGTCGTGATTGTGTTTGCGTGTCTCGGGGTATAGGAAATGCTCGAGATTAGCCAACAAGGGAACATCCCGAAGTAATGATCACCGATCTCGATGAAACTTTGGTGTATTGTAGCTTCGAAAAAAAATATTCCACGTGTAGAAATTTTTTTTAACAGAAATCGTTCGCTGTGGAGAGGTGAAAATAGAATTGAAAGTTATACTAATAATAGAGTAGTGCAAATTGACGAATTTTCTATTTTTCAACGGCAAATTTGAAAAATGAAATGGAAAAAGATAATAAACGAATCTGATTTTTTTCATCCATCGTTCATAAAAAAAATTAAGGGCAACCATAAACACCAAAGTGTCGTTAATATCGGTGATTGTCCATTGGTGGACTCTCGGGTGCGATAAACATCTTCCCGCCGCTGTTTGTTTAGAACCACAAGTTAACGTGATCGAGCGGAAATTGCACGCGCGCGACGTAAAATTGGCGAACGTCGGTACCGTAAAGTGGCAAACTTTATAGCGGATTAAAAGGCGAGAGTCGACGAAATGAAATCGGGGCGTGAGTTGCATGCGGAAAGATTATCATCTCCTCTTAAATTCGTCGTTTGCCTCTTGTTTATTGCGTCAGTGTGGTAGTCGTAAAATTCGCGGATCAAGCTGACCTCGAGGTATCCGAAGAGCCGCGTATCCACTTAGCGGGCTCGTGATATTTAGAAATTTGGCCGGTGTATCGGATGTACAGAACATTAACTTCGTGATAAAGTCATCGCGCGACAAATCGTGCGAAGTGGGCCTCTTAAACAATTTATGGATGGCACGATTTCGCGTTCAACCGCGTACTATGTTTCACAAGGTCGCGCGTGTGTATGCGTTAACTTGGACGCAAACGAATTTTGAAATAACGCCCTGTAACACGATAACCGATACAGCTCGGCTAAATAAAGAAAAACACGTCGAAGTGGTTGCTTCTTGAACGTTCGAAGATCGGGATCGTCGTTGCGCTGTGTTTCGAGTCGGGTAAACAAACGAAGCTGAAGAGGGAAATACCGAGTGACGCGTACACTCGCGTGCGTTTATGCGGTTAAGCGTACACGTGCGCTTTTCGTGAAAGCGAGAGGAAAATTAAGCTTGCACTTGTAGACACGATCTTAAATGGAACGGCTGCCAAGAATGTCGGTTGTTCGTTAATCTAGGCTCGCGAACGCCGTGTGTTTTCTTAATTGTCGTTCACCGTTCAGTTTATAATTATCAGCCACGTTCCTCGACGCCGGCAATGTTTCTCGAACGAGGAAGTAACTTCGGTTCGTTCGGTGAAAAGAAGAAACAGAGGATAGTAAAAATCGTGAGAAATTATGTAAAATGAAAAAAGGTATGATTTATTGTGTAGAAAAAAAGATCGTTTTATTTGCATTGATACACGTTTTCTCATTCAACGGTTCAACCACCGATAACGTATGCACGGAGGATAGATAGATAGAGAGAGAAAAAGTATCGGACGAGATTGAACGATTACTTTCTTCCCGTAATTATTCACGGTAATTATACATCTCTCTGATAATCAGTGGATTTCTCTGGTTTTTATTACCGCCTGTGCTCCTTTCACCGCGCGCCACGAGCGTAAGCGCGATTGCAGTCGTCTAGGCGTCGGATCGATACGACAAACAAGACCGCGGCGGAATGGCAGATTGCACGGAATCTCATCGATTTCCGCTTCTAGAGATATATTACATAGGGTTAGAACGCGTCGCTTTTCACTTCGATCTCTCCGCAATCAAGAAAAGTCTTTTGTCTGTTTTGGAATCTTTATTGTACCTCATTTACGCATCTTCCCTTAGCACAGTGTTTTTTTTTTAATTTTCTTTGTTTACGAGGAAGCGTTGCCGTATGGATGACGACTGTTGAGAAAAACGTGGTTCAACGAACCCCGGAAATGGTCCGAGTAATCAAGCACACGAGTTAATCACACGTCGACCAATCGAAATCTTTGCCCTTCGGGTGGTATCAGGTACGAAACAGCATTCGTGTCAATCGTTGCGGCGCTTGATCGTAGCCGCTGTCCTTCTTAATTAGCCCACCGTACAATCTATTCGTCACCGCCAGTCATGACTTCCATAAACTCTGAAACGGAGGAATTCGACGTCATTGAAAATTCACACGTCAACGAGGCTACGCTGCAAGTCTAGCGCGACACAACGTCGATTATTGAATAATCATACACCCAAGTGTATAAAATGCAAGCACACACACGCGCGATATTTCGTTAAACAGAAAAAGTTGGAGCAGTATCGTTTGTTCGCCTCGAGTGAAAACACTTCAACTGAACCTCACGGTGCACGGCAAGCTGTTAATTAATTAACCAGGACTGATGGATTCTTGGCAAGCCGTGCTCCAAGTGTTCCCTGTAATTTTCAATATGCAACACACGGCTTCCCGCGTTAGTTGTTGTTGGCGTGGCCCGGCACACTCGCGTCGGTAATTAGGATTGATTGACGTGTTAGGAAAACACTCTAGCCGGGGTGTGTTAGCCACGTACCGTCGAAGTCCAGAGTTCCCGAGCCGTCCGCGTCGATCTCCTCGATCATCATGTCCAGTTCCTGCGGCGTCAGTTTGTCGTCGAGCTCGTGAAGGATGTCGCGGAACACCGCAGTTGTTATGTAGCCGTTGCCTTCTTTGTCATACAGCCGGAACGCCTCGCGTAGCTCTTGTTGCATCGCCTCCGAATCCTCCTCCACCAAGAATCGGGCAGCCAGGGTGCAGAACTCCTCAAACTCCAATTGTCCCGAGCCTGAAATAATTCGGGGTGATTTAGACGGACTGTTTCAATTGAAGTTCGATATTTGATCGATTCTGTGGGTAGCTCTGATCTCTGGGCCACTTCACCGACGTGACGTTTGAAATAGAGCGACATTCATGAATTTACGGAGACTTGTCGTTTCTTGTTTTCGTTGCAAATGCTTTGGTATTTTATTGGAAATTCGATATTTTCACTGTTTCTCAATTGTTTTCGTTTAACCCTTTGCTCTCCAGTGCACTCCACTATGGTGACATTTAAAACGAAGTGAATTTGGTTTCTTTAAATTTCACTTTCAGAAGTTTGCAAAAGAGAATACTAAGAGTGTAAAGGGTTGAGTGTGTTGTGTCTGGAAAATTTAGGAAGGGGTTCCGTTTTCTCACCATCTTCGTCAACTTCCGTGATGATTTCCTTCAGTGTCTTTTCGCTGAGCTCGTAACCCAACATTGTTAAAATCGTCCCCACCATGTCAGTTCCGATGCTACCCTTTTTGTCGTGGTCGAAGGCGTCGAAGGCCTTTTTCAAAACTGCACAAAAATTCGCAACGTGTGAACAGAATATTTTTATACACCGAGAAAAAATTCGTAAATATTTACTCACGAGCAACTTGATCCTTGGTTAGATCATCCTGAAATTAGAAAATTTCTTACAATCTGTTGCATAAAGTATCACATTCGTCTTCAATCGACACCCAATAAGAATCCTTAAATGCCCCAACATAGTAACTCAATAAATTAACACAATAATAAAAAAATTCGTCAGCACTTGATCATCGGAATAGCCAAAAATGTGAAATTTTCTGTTACACGTTTCGGGAAATTTTTATGGATTTGGACGTTCGCCAGAAAATGCTCGCGGTGTAAAAATCGAAGGGAATTGCTGGTGTTTACGTCGAACCACTATTTATAGCAACCCACCATGTTGAAGTGACAATAAGATGTACGGTTAAGAGTCTGGTATTAACACCCTACAGCGTCGACGGTTTATCCGGGTATGCACCAGATTCTGGCTGTGGACTTCTGTTTTATGTGGACATTAGGATGATCTGCTGGCACGTGATTGACCGGGTAATATCTACGTAGAAACTCTAGCGGTTTTCAAATTCATTCGAGGACACGCCCCACTCTTTGCTTCCGCGGAAGAGGGGCTTCAATTGTGCGAAATTTCGAGGGAAACGTACTCGATTTCCTCCACTTCTGTCTCTCCTCCGTTTCATTGTGTTCATCTAGACGACACGTTTCCAAGCCGGAAGACGCTCGCCGAATTTCGCACAAGTATATCACGCCAGTTTGTTTAACTTCGCTTAATGAAACGCGAAGAAAATTCCAAGAATAACGACGAAATTGATTTAAACGTTCCTCACTTCCTCGTTCTGTTCTTTCGTAATTAAAGATTCTTCGATAACTGAATCCTTCGAAATGCAACAAATTCATTATCGAGCCGCACGATCGAGCTACTTTTTACTCATAAGTATTCCTTCCCCTGTTGCAACTCACGCCACTTTCCTGACAATTTATTATTAACAACGCGCGATTATTCAAGCCTCGCTGTAACCGAGTGTAAATACACGCCATTGGGAAACTTTCCTGTTTTTTCTTTTTTTATATAATTATTGTGAGTAATCGTTTTCACCGGATTACGGCAATTTCTGTCGGCGAATCGTTCGAATTTCGCTACGATTTCGCGTATACGGTAAACGGTACATTTCGATCGTTTGTGATTCGTATCGACGGCGGAGTTACATCACCGGTGCCCGTCATATTTATCGTGTTCGCGCGATCACGAGCGCAACAACTCGCCTCCGGGGACAGAATTGTCATTTTTTCCTTTTCGTTTCGCAAGGATCCGCCGACCTGGTGGCAATTTACGTGGAAGCTCGGTTCCGCGATTCGATCAGCAAGGATTCACAAATCAAAGGATAAAGAGGAGGGACGCGACAATAGACGAAGTTGGCTCACAGCCGGAAGTATCTCGAGACAATTCGGCGTAATAAACGCATTCGCCGTATTCTTAGGTGGCTAATTATACCATCGTAATACCCTTAGCGCACCTAACTATCGGATTCTTGGGGGACATTAGCGCCGATTCTGGCGTATTGCTCGTTTCCATTTCGCGCAACGTATTGTTAACTCCCTCACGCTGAATTCCTGCTTCCCGCGGAGATCGTGATAATGATCTTGAAGCTATATTTGCGATACCTTGAGAGCACGCACGTGTTATTATAGCAATGCGTTCAGCCGTGGCTATTAAACGTAATTCCATCGTGATAGTGTTTGCATGAAAAATAATAACTCCGACTCGGCGTTGTGTAACGCGGAGAATTCGTCAGATGGATTGATATGTACGCACGATTGAACGGTGTGGAGGGAAGTTGGATTTAATTGAAAGGCAAATAATACACTTGATTCGTGTTATTTTCTGGTTTGTTGTTTTCTTTCGAGGATAGTGATAAATCCTGCGTGCAGAGAAGTATTACGCCATCGTAGGTGAATGTCAATGACATCGAGTAATTGAACGATACAGAACTGGGATTTTTAACATATTTTGTTTCGCATTCTTTACTGATTTACAAAGAAAATGATATTTTTTTATTTCGTTAGTTTTCTAACTTTTTTAACCTGTATTAAAAATTCTTTGACACACCTGTGGACCTACTGAGGCACATTAGGTGAACATCAGCGATTTGAAAGGATCGAATAATATAGGCAAGTTGTATATTGCTATTTTTTTTTGTCTTTTTATTGCTCTTTTACTCTTACGCAGTTGCTCGAAACTTGAAACTTAATGAATACAGTATTATAATATAACAGCTTATGAATATATTATGATAGTTACGCAGGATCGTATATCTCGCTGGCAAAGAGTGAAGTTTTCAAATCACCGATATCAACACGATCTTCTAATCCTTTCTCTCTCTGTTTCTCGAGCAACGCTGGAACGATAACAAACATTTCCACCCACTGAGAAACGTCGATTTATATCCATCGATATAAATCAGTTTCTCGAAACCATGTTTCACCAGGGAAGCACCCGTGGAGCCTCCCGTTTAATTCCGGCATAGATAGAAATACATTTTAGCCGATTGTGGGTCCAAAAACGACGGACACGGCAGAAATACTTTCTCAGCTATATCCACGTTGCAGCCGTCTACCTAACAGACATCACCTACGAACCTTTAACTTCATACTTTGCCAAACGGTGCATACATCTCTTGGTAAATCGCAGCCTCCACGTGTGTAGGACAGGCGGTATCGTCGTCTGCGTGGCGGCTGACACGAGGAACGACCGCCTTGTGCCAAGGTGATAATTTAGCCTGTCATGACCTCCATGAATTCTGCAACACGAATCGAGACTTGTTCGATGTTTCGTGTACATACATACACGCGCCTAGATACTTGGATGTAACGCGAGATGATTAAATTGATCGATTTGAGTCACTATCTCGGGGGTGTCCAACTCGCAGCTCGCGGGCAGCTTGAGGCCGTAGCTTCGCCCCGCGGGCAATATGGAGCCCTAGCTTTGCCCCACGGGCCGCACGGGGCCCTACATCTGCCCGCGAGCGACGTGAGGTCCTATCTCGGCCCGTGGGCAGTGCGAGGCCTTATCTCGGCCCGTGGTACAGCATCTCTGTACTGTGTAGAGCTCAGGAGTTTGCAATCGAGACGGCACAGGGGCAAAAGTGGTACTTCACTCGCACAGCTTGAATCTTTCGCCACGCGGTGCTATATTATGATTCGATTTATCGATGCTATCGCGTTCGGCCAATAATGACAATACGTGTGTCTTATTTTTGTGATAGCGTTAGAGAACGTGGCTTTATGAGGATACTCCTGAGCTCCACACAATATCTGGGCCCGCGGGCAGCGTAAGGCCCTAAACAGTTAGTAATGGAACCTTCTCAAGATCGTAGACTTTTAACATTATTATGCGATTTTTAGCGATATTCTTCACGACTTGATTGCGCTATAAGTTTAGCGGCTCAAGATGTTTTCTCTTTACTCAATGTGGCCTAGGTAAGCTAAACGTTTGGACACCCACGATCTATACTCTACGTACCCTCGAAATCTACCGTGCCCGAACCATCAGCGTCCACTTCATCGATGATCATGTCTAATTCTTCAGGCGACAGTGCATCGTCCAGTTCGTGAAGAATATCTCTGAACACGTCGGTGGTGATATAACCGTTTCCTTCTTTGTCGTACAGGCGGAACGCTTCACGAAGCTCTTGTTGCATCGCCTCGGTGTCGGTGTCCTCCTCCATGAATCTGGAGGCCAGGCTGCAGAACTCTTCGAAGTTTATTTCACCGGAATCTGAGGAACGCGGGGAGTTGAAAAATTGTATACAGATTGAAATTTGTGAATTTTGGGTGGATGTTGGTTTACTCACTGAACGGGTCGTATTCAGCGATTATGCTTAACAATTGATCGGATGGAATTCTCATACCCATCATTCCGAGGATGGTACCGATCGTGTCGGTGGTGATGGAGCCTTTTTTGTCGGCGTCGAACGCGTCGAATCCCATTTTAAGCTCTGAAATTTCGTTGATTTTCACAGTGAAGGAAAATAATGAATTTTCATAGCATGTGAATAGTTCGGTAAACTCACGTGCAATTTGGTCCTTGCTAAGTTGAATATCATCCTAGAAAGAATAAGAAAAAATTTGTCCATGTTTATTGAGATTTTTCGTTATTTAACTGAAAATGGATCACTCGAACTTCCTAACAGCGTGTCGAGAAGATAAGATCGTAATTGTTCGTTAAATCGTCACCGATACACGTAGTTAAATCATTTTCCAATATTTCGCAAAATTTTAACGGTCCCTTTGATAATTACCATAGCTGCGGCGGTTCGGAAGTATCACAAAACACAGGTATCACAAAAGTAAACGATCGAAAGTTTACGTCTGAGCAATCGCTTCTGAACAACTTACTGTACCGATGGAAATGTCACACTGAGCCTTAGTAAACTAATTAGTAGAGCTGCACGGACGCAATCACGCATTCTTATTAGCGTCGATAGATAAGCACCAATCATCTGCCGACCCGAAGACACTATAAAAAGATTCTTAATTGGGACCCTTTCACGATACACACTTTGCGAAACGCGCTGTCTGTTGACGCAATGGATGAATGATAAACTACGTCGGCGTCTAAATCAATTGCTTTTTCTCACTATATAATTGTTTACATGTGCTTCAACAATGCTGTACACGCCTTATTAATATTCCTCTCGCAGAGCTTACCTGTCCATTCCAATTCTCAGAAAGCCAGATTTACGTTCTTTATAATCGTTTCAATCGGCGCTTTTCGATATCTCCGGTGTTACCACTTTCCATTGGGTAAATTAATTCGGCGAATCCCTCAAATTTATAATGGAAAATTCAGTTTCTTATTAGATGTTACCTTAACCTCTTATCTGGATCTATTTTCCATTAGAGAATTTCATTAAAATTAATTCAGCGAACGCCTCAAATTTACAATGAAAAATTCAGTAGCTTGTTTCTTAACTTCTTACCTGGATCCATTTTCCATTAGAGAATTTCATTGAAATTAACTCAGCGAACGCCTGAAAGTAACGAAAAATCCAATTTCCCTATTAGCTCCTCTCTCACCCTCTTACCTGGATCCATTTCTCCCTCAAAAGCCGAGTTTCTCAAGTATAGTAAAACTATTTCAAATCCAACAATTTCCATCGATCACTTCTCCTACAAAAATCAACGATACAATTTTCACTCTAATTTAGAAAAGAAAAATGCGTATACCGGAGAAACAAAGTTGTCAATCAACAGAACAATGCAGAAGGTAAACAGGTGTAAAAACAATGGAACGTGAGTTGGACGGTGATTCATCCCAGTGTACAGGGAAGCTGGTTTTGCCGCAACGGGGGAAAGGGAGTGTACGGCGACGGGGTTACATCATTTGGCAATGTCAAGCTCACGCAAATCCGGAACTGCGATTGGCAGTGTCCGTAGAAAGCCAGTGACGACGCCGCTCCGTATAGACGGTCATTTCCACTACGCGGCGTTCTCTGTGGGCGAGCACGCAAACGGTTATACTGATTGCGAGCGGGGTCCAACAGTACAGCAGTTTGATATTGGCATTGCGTCCTTTTAGAGAATTGCAGTGGATTGCCAGTCCGTGCTGCCGGGTAAAAAAGCTCACCTGGCAGCCGCCACTGAGAAGCAAACACGGGGCTTACTGACCTCCTTTAGCCAATCGGACAGAGCTTCGACCAGTTACGCCGAACTACTGACCTAATCGTCAAAAATAAACGACAGGGTGGGGACTGGCCAATGATAATAAACGTTGATCCCTGTTCGGACCTTGTAAACATTTTCTCCACAACCGATAACAACCGGGGAGGAACAATAATCTAACCGAGACACGTTTTCATTCATCAAGCAACATTTCTATTTCCAATTATCGACTCTATCCATCGGGAGCCTTAATCTTTCGCGGTTACACTTGATCGTTGAAATTGACATTGGACGTACAACGTGCCCGTTGGGCTGACAGCCAGATTTAACAGGATTCTCGCCCCGATGAGGTGAGAATTATTTATTTTCTCGTTGCAAAATACCAACCGCTAAACAAGTTAAACTGTTTTCTACAAAAACGAACAAGCACTCGGTGAACTAATAATTCTCTACCAAGTACAACCTAAGGATTTTTAAACAATCGTAGTATGATAAAGTTCGTCCTTCGACTCGACCGTCACGGATAAAGACGGTATCATGTCGCTAGGATGAGGAGGCAACGGCGGAGCGTCCGATTTCTGCTTCTCCAGTTCGCTCTTCAATCTCATCAGCCTCCAAGAATCCAACTGCGTCTCCGTTGGCTCCACGTCCGACACGTAACTATGCCAGTCGCTTTGCGAACTCATACGGAACATCCTCGATCTTCGAGCGAGCGAGATTCTCTCGGGAGGCAGAGGCATCACGTATTCGTCCTCGTGAAGCTTGCTGTTGCTAAACGAGGCCTCCTCTCCACACCTCTCCTCCTTCTCGCTGATATCCACGCCTTTGGGCAGCACGATCGCGTCCACGTTCCTTCGTTTCACGAGCATCACTCGTTTGCTGCCTCGAAGCAGCGACGGGTACTTTCTTATCAGCAGAAACGACAGAAATCCTCCGAACAGGAAGAGCAGAACCAACGACAAAATCGACAAAGAGACGACCAAACTTTTGTCACCGTTGGTCAGCCAGGTCTTCGAGTAGTTCTCAGGGTCGGCAACCACGGCTAAACAGTTCAACGGCGACACGGGCGTGTTATCGTCGAGCAAACAGATCGTGTACGCCGCCTTCGGATCGATATCCCGCACCAGATAAGAGTGCTTCACGTTTTTTGCACAGCAGAGCGTACGCTCGACGTCGTCGTTGTCGAACCAGAGCAGCGTGACTCCTTGGTTCAAGTCGGGGAGGTTCACGAGCACGCTTCGCTCTAGAGACGTCTTGGAGACGCGGAAGCTCGGGAATCGCGAGGGGACTTGAAGAATATTCTTCGACGACAATTTCCTCGAACCGAATGTTCTCATATTTGTATAGGCTACGCTGCAGGTTACGTTGATGTTTGCAGCGTTGGACGTTTGAGTCGTGGTCTGGTTAATTTGCGTCAAATTCGGCTCGGTAGTATCGATCGTGGAGGAGACCGTGGTGGTTCTGTTAGATCGGTGACAGAACTCTGCAACTGTGAACGACTTCCTAGCGTTCTCCCGAGGAGTCTCGCAAGTTGGAATTTCGGAAAATATGTTTGGACGAGATAGAAGGAGGTCCTGCATCCATTTTAGGTCGCAGACACAGTGCCAGGGATTTCTCTGTATCATCATAAGGAAATTTTGTCTGCTGATCACAGGATCTAGCAGACCTGCCGGTAACGTAGAGATGCTGTTATCGGTCAGGATTATTTGCGATAGAGACGAAGCCATGGGTTCTAGAGTGTGCTCCGACACTGTCTCGATCTTGGAACTGTCCAAGTAGAGAGACGTCACTGCAGGCACTCCTGAGAATAGTTTGTCGTCGATCGTGGATATCGAGTTTCCTCTGATAGATAGTATCTGAAGATTCGGCAACTTGCTTCCGCCTGTTATGTTTCGTAGCACTTCTCGATCCTCGATCGCTCGACTGAATTCTAAGGAGGACAAAGTACTCGCCACGTCTTCCAGTAAATTCAGTTGAGCCTCTTTGATGATATTCTCTCGTATAACCAGCTCGTTCAGTGTTTCCAAGCTGGCGAACGTGGATCTACGAAGGGAGTTCAATTTATTCTTCACCATGACGATCTTCTTCGTTTCTTTGTAAATTGTCGAGGAGAACGCGTCCTCTTCTATCTCGCTAAGGAAGCATTTCTCGAACGCTAACTCTTCGATCGACACGTTGCTGCTCAGCCAATTTCTTCGAAGCTTGTTCGCCGGGAACACGCAGTCGTTGAATGACAGCTTCACGGATCTCGCGGCAGTGCAGCTGACCTAAGTGAAACGTCGCTTAATTTAACGCGGCACGAGTGCAGTTAACCCTTTGACAGTCTAATGAAATGACGAATTACGGTAAAAATAATTTACGTTTTACGCGTATCTTTTTTTTTTAATAATTACGTCGGGTAGGATCATTTTTTTAAGACAAGGGATACACGACCCTGCGTCACAGTTATCTCTTTTTAACCCTTGTGTCAATGACCGGCTACTCTTTTGCACATTCTCACTGAAAATATTTGATCTTCCCGGTAAAAGATTTGAATATCCGACCAGATCGTTGTTACTTCGCACATTTCCTATCCCTGTTTGCTTCAAGTTTGCAACAAGGGTTAACTTTCTTCCCAAGAGAACATTGAAACATTTCACGCGGATAAACTGTCGAAGGATCAACGCACTATTTCTCACATTTTCAATACCTTGAAGGTGTTCTCGATGTAACTCGACGCTATCGCTCCAGGATCCTGTTTCTCCAGAATATTCGAGCAGATTACAGCGTTGCAGCGTTCGATCTTGCAGAAATGCGACAGATTCGCGTGTTCCACAGAAGTGTTCGATGTTTTATGAGCCTCAGACCGTCCCGCCATTGTGTTATCCTTTAAATTTAGTATCAGAGAGCAGCTCAACACTTGCTGGAGCATGTAGCGTGAGAAAAATACGAACACGACGATTCCGATTAGCAGAAGAGCCACCAGAAGTTGTCGCCATGCAAAACTGCATTTTTATCGACACGTTAAATAATCGTTTATCAATGTGAATAATTTCAAATACGCGTTTGCGATGAATCTCGCGAATACCTTTTCAATTTCTGGAACCACGGAACCGAGGAGTCCAGAATTCGGAATTTCCTGGCGAACATGTGCGCGTCTTGTTAGCAGACCGCGGAGGAGCGACAGTTGCGAACATCTGGCGAATCCGGAAGCATAATCTAATTCCGATGGAACGCATGGCAATCGTATCTATGTTTCTCATTGATTAGTTTTATCGCGTGCGTTGTTATTAAGCGCGTTTCAGCTGGATCGATCTTGAGGAAGGAGGTTGCATCGGTTGTCGAATATTATTTCAATCGTGTGTCGTTTATTTGTTCGAGCAGTATTTACGAATTACAATTACAATTTCCATGGATACATGAATAAATCGATTTCAGTCACGAGTACGCATAGCTTTCAGCAAGCACACTCTGAAAGCTAGAGCGACGTCGCATTCGTTGTCTGTTTCCTCGACTGAAAGATAAATTATCGTCGGTGATGTTTGTCACACGTCGATGCAGTAATTTCCGTGTAAATTTACTCACTGTCACTTGCGCACACTTCTACCATCTTCGAGACAAACGAAACCATGTCTAGATTGCCGTCGTGTTTGCTCTCGATGAATTCTGAGACCGTTTGAGAATTCAAAGCGGATCCTGTCATCTGAAATATGTCAACGGTACGTGAAAAATGTGCCGATTATTTGGTCGAGTGTGTTTGCCTTACCAGGCCGATTTTTTGGAAAACGCAAGCCACGAAGCAGCCGAATTTTCTGAAGTCTCCGTCTCCGTTTATCATTTTAATTCTCTCCTCCGGCGAGTCGTGCAATTTTCTCAGTTCAGCTGGAATTTTTTCTTAAATTTACTCGATACAGTTTGACAATTGTTGCGCTATTTTTACATACCGCTTGTCATGTTGGCGCGATCGATGCATTCTGGGAGGCTCTCGAGCGGGAAACCTGCGAATTTCGCTGGCAATTCGAGGAAATTTTCGCTGAGAAGTCCCTGAAATATTGTCGATGCCATAACATTTCGTAACGACAGAGTTCGAGTTTATTTATATGCGAGATTTATTTGTTCTTACGTAACAGAGGATAAGCGAAACGAGAAACGGCGAATTCTTCATTCTACGAATCGAGACGAAACCTGCGAGCAAAGTTGGACTAACATATTGCGCGTTTCGCCGTGTTACCTTTATACCTTCTCTTTTGTCCGCTTCGCGGGCACAATTTGACAAAGCGTTGGAACAGAGGAAAATTGACAGGGACCGGTGTTAGATCCGTATCGGAGGAGATAATTACGGTTAGATTAGGAAATTCTACGTTGCTGATGTTTCTTCTGTTGCGTGCGAGCATGCGACGGGATAATTACAATGGCGGTTGCGCAACCGGTAATAAGCGTCGAGAGAATTATTCACAGTGAATAAATAACTCCATCAATCCGGTTGAACGTAGAGATGGCCATAGATCAAATGAAAATCTTAACGAGCGGAGAGAAAAGGGAAATGAAAGAACGCAGTGGTACGTGTTTGTACGTATAGATCAGTGGGAATTTATTGCTTTTACGATTTTTGAAGCTAACAATACTTCTATCGAACGGCTGCACGATCGAATCGGGCTGGAATGAGGGAAACTTTGGGAATTTTTTTCGTGGGTAAGTACCGAGCGAAGAATTTTTAGTATTTTCAGAGGATACAGGTGTAAATTTTAGCTTCTTCCTCGAATTTTTGGAAAGTTAACGTTTTACTAAATTGAGGAATTATTTGGTAATCGCGGAAAATCTTTTGCTAGACCATCGATGGTACGTCTGAAATAAAAACTTCTTGTGGATTTATAAATAAAAATGTATCATCGAGAATGTAACGTCAGATTTAAAAGGAATTGTAATTATTATAAGAATGGTGGCAGTTTGAATAGAAAGAAACATTTTTTTCCCCGAAAAAATCAATTTCAAACATTTCTAAAGAATTGAATAATTGAGATGTCGAGAAAATCTTACTCCACATTCTAGATAACACATGTTTATTCATAAATTAGGAAGAATTTTTTATTTCAGACGTTCTGATATTCTAACAGCAGAAATTTCACAATAACTCCTCCATTTTGTAATATTTTTCCTTTCTAAAAATTGAACGAAGAAGCTGGAAGTAACGTTTGTATCTCCAGAAAAAATTGAAACGTTTCGTTCATTAGTTACCTACAAAAAAAATTCCCAAACTTTACCCATTTTCAGACACCTCAACGCGGTGTATCCCCTTATATCATCGTGAATACACAAAAGAAAAAAGGAGTACTTATCAGACGTGCATCTGTATCGTCGAATACTTGTATAAAAAGCAGTGTAAAAGGTAGTTAGAATAGGGTGTACGTGAGAACACATTGTTGGGAAACGAGATTATCTCGTCATCGACACTTGCAACAGTTGTACAACGACACGTTGTCCCGTTCTTCCGTGATTTCCTCGTTCACGGTGTTCGCCAATGGCCTGCCGCGTGTTTCCGGCAACACCAGGCACAGCAGACCAGCTATTAGCGCCAAGCAGCCGCACAGTGTGGTCGGTCCCCACCACACAACAGCTCCTAATAAGTCAGCGACGTAAGGCGCAGCCACGCTTCCGACATGGGACATCGCGGAATTCGTTCCAACCGCGGAGTTCCTGCACACCTGTTTCCCAAGGAATTTCAATGTTGACAGACGTTGAAAATGTAGAGGAACAGCATTAAATCGTATAACATGAAATATAGGATTTCTAATCGTTCGCAAATTGATCCTTTAAACGATTACTTAACACCATCGCTGCCACCAGAAAATCGATAACACCCTGGGCAATGCGTTTTGGGACGCATATGGTGCGTCGGTGGCAGCGACCGTGTTAAGTGTTGAAAATTTTTTAATTGTTTGTTTTGAAGTTCGTGTGATCTTGGGTAAACCACCATCGCTGCCACCGGAAAATCGATAGCACCCTGGGCAATGCGTTTTGGGACGCATATGGTGCGTCGGTGGCAGCGACCGTGTTAAGTGTTGAAAATTTTTTAATTGTTTGTTTTGAAGTTCGTATGATTTTGGTAAATTATCGTTGGAGAATTTTAGGGTAATTTTTGAAAAGGAAAAATTCCATATTTCGTATCATTCTACACGATTTAATGGTTCGCGAGTTAACGAAGCTTGAAAGGAGGATTAAATGGCGAAAGAGAGACTTGTCTAGTGACACGCGAAATAATTATAAAAATTGATACCGTGGGGAAAAGTTCGGAGCTGTACAAAATAGCGATGCCATAAGCAGCCGACGCGCTGAATCTTCCTATCAACGAGACAACCATGATCGCGTCACTTTCCGTCGTTGGTATGACTAAAATACACAGCAGACAGAACGCAGCGATGATGTACAGAGCAGAACTTCCTGGTCGACGTCCCATCACCATTAGAATTGGCGTTGGTATCAAGTATGCCGGTATCTCGGTCAGACCCATCACCAGAACGTAAATATACCGGTTGGCTGAGAAATTGTTCACGTTTAACGCTGAAAAAAAAAACACAAAAAAAATATGAAAAAAATTTTGCAAACATTCTCACGGAAAAATCAGGGTCGTTCGGTTACCTAACGCGTAATAGGTGAGAGAGGCAGTCATCCAAGCGTAATTCGTGATAAGAATTCTCTTTCTTAACTCGCTGTTGCTGATCAACACTCGAAACCCTTTGATATTTTTGTGCAATCGATCTTTGTCGGAGTTAGTCGAATCTGACGTTTTCGGGGTGAGTATCAGATCGTCCGAGTCCTTTAATTCGTGTCTTTGAATAGCTAACGTCAGCGACGTCGTCACGGTGACAGTGGAGCTTCTCTTGCACGCCTTATCGATCAAATCCTTGGCTTCTTCGCGACGATTATGCGCTATCAGCCATCGCGGAGATTCTGGCATGAACCTGGTCGAATCGGAAATATCTCGTTAACTGATCGCTACGGAATTTCGCGATTTGAACGACGATCGTCGAGAAAGATTTACAGCTTCGAGACTGAGAAACGTAACAACACATCGTTCTCGATTTAATCGTCCAATTAAACGCTTAATACGTTAATTCGAGTACGAAGGCTTGGTATCCGAGATAAGGGTATTTCTCGATACCAGGGCTTGATCGTTGCTCGAGAGAATCTTTGGATTATGCAACCTACCACAGGTGTATTAGCAGAAGCAGAGCGGGTAGAGATATCGCTAATTGAATATGTCTCCACTCGTGAAAGAAGTAAGCTATGCCTGGGACGATCACTATTCCTGTGGCGTAGCCGGTGTTGTAAGCGATTCCCATCCACTGTCTGTGCTTCTCACCTGCTACCTCTGTAACTGTAACAGTGGAGATTTGTCAAAATTAGCAATTTGTTAAATCAACGATGGTGAAGTGTCTTAAAATTTCATATTTTACGTGAGCCATTCATGGGTCAAAGTATAATAGCTAACTCCAGTTTTTGGATTTTTTAAAATTTTGGCGCCAAAACACTTGAGTGATCCTTATCTGTCAATATTTAAAATAAATTTTGTTCAAAATTAGGCTTAAATGACAAAAATTTTTATTAATATTTCAATATTTATATTTATATTTGATGTATGTAATTTCTTTAAACGAGCAGCTCATAATGTGACACCGGAATTAATGGAGTGTTAGAAGAAACTGAAAGTGGAGATTTTGCATATTCTTAGAAGGCTGATGTATCTTGTTGACACTGAATTATTATTAATTAAGAGTACAACTTACGTGTTGTGAACGACGAATACTGTATGGCGGCATGGCTGACGCCGTTAATTATCCTCGAGAGCATAAATGCCCAGTACCAAGGAACAATTGCACCGGCTGGACCAGAGGTGATCAACAATATTATACCGATAATGTAACTCATTTTTCGGCCGTACTTGTCCGCGAAAATCCCGAAGAAAGCGCTGCCTAATAATTTCCCGAGAGACAGTGCCATGTGGGTGCTCGAACGAGCCGCGCTTTTATCGCAGACCAGGTCCCACTGAAATTATTTTCAAACATTTACAATAGAATCCTTCGTTTCATCCAAATTTGACGAAACACACTTTTCTTCACATATAGAAATATTTTAGAACAAAATCACCTTGGAGAAATTGAATTTTAGAAAAGTAGGAATATAGAATTAAGGGAAGAATTCTTAATTTCATCCAAATTTCACAAAACGCTTTAAAATTACTTAAAAAGAAAATTGAATTTTAGAAAAACACGAATATAGAATTAAAGTAGAATTCTTAATTTTATCCAAATTTAATACTTTCAGAATGGAATCCTACAATAAAATTACCTTCGAAGGACCAAATTTCAAAAAATGACGAACACCAAATTAAAAATAAAAACAGCACAAAATTAAAAAAAAAGTGTTCATATCGTATAAGTCAGTTGGCACAGACTAGCCTAAATCAGAAATTGGCCGCGAGTTAGGTACGACAGATGTCGCTTGGAGTGTCCTGCAGGATAAAGGTGACTTTTCGAACAGAAACGGGGGTAGTTCGAGAAAAGCTGCGTGTCGAGTAACGTCAGGTAACCTTGTGATCCGATCAGTGAAACTCACGTCCTGAACGTAGGAAGTTCCACCGATGTCGTTCGCGAAACTTCTCACTTGGCAATCGATCGATTCCGGTAAAGGGTGCGCTATTTTATATTCCAACGCTTCCTCGAACCCAATGTGCGCGAAATTTTCATAGTCGTAGTTGTACATCGTGCAAGGACTAGACGAAGAAATGTTCCTTATCTGTTCGTCTGTCCAATTAGCTGCTGTCAAACTTTCTATCGAACACCAATGCGTAGGCACCTGTCACGCACAATCAGCAATTTAATTAAAAGAAATTAAACGAATATTTCTACGTAACACGATAAGTTCAACCTTACTTCGGCGATAAAGATATAGGACATGGAGTGCATTCCGTTGAATATCGTCGGTGTTAGCGTAAAAATGAATATAATCCATAGAAAATTGGAGCCGCAACCGAGTTTATCGAGCGCCTCTAAAAGAGGATCCGTGACTTTCGTCCTTGTATCGCTGATCATGTTTCTCTGTGAAAATCAGACACAGGCAAATAATTCGTCTGTTACGAGCAATTCAATTTTCTCTTTAATCGATCTGTACAATATTTATAAATATTTGAAAAATTCCTGAAAAACAAATTACTAACCGATTGTTACACTCGTTCGAAAGTCGACGAAACGCCAGAAAACCGAGTCAACAATCGCTCGTCCTTTTATCCTACTATGAATTAACAGTCAGTCATATTTTCTCCAACAAACTGTTCACAAACTTTCTCTCAAGGATATCTCCACACGTTGCAATTAAAAACAACATATTTGCACTTGGACAGACTCGTCGCAACACTTTGTAGAGTAATTCGATGGTAACGCTGGAAAATCAATCGGAAACACGGTTCGAAGAAAATGGATGAAAAGTCGGTGCAATTCTACTACATTGTTCACCGTTTCTCCGAACGAAAACCTCCGCGCGATCGTGTGCGAGCGACTGACGATCGACAGCCGTTTCCTCCGGCTCCTATCTAGATAAGCAAGTTCTCCGATCAGGTATGGCAGTAGCGACGCAACTCGCGTGGATTCTGATGGCCATCGTACGATAATGATAATCTCAGCTGATTCACTTGTGTCCCCGTTTCTCTAAACGACGCACTGTTACGCTTGTTAAGCCTGTGCTTCTTTCAATATGTCGCCCAATTCTTCGCCTATTGTTCTACGAAAACAGTAGAAACACATTTTCCGGCAATCTTTAATTCATCTTCCTCGTAACAACTCAATCTGCAATCTTATCCTTGTAATTATTATTCAATGTATCTTGCGCATGCTTGAATAGCGGTATTTATGCAGAAGTTTCACGTGAAACGAACAGGTTTCTGCACTAGCGCAGGTTAAACAGAAAACTCGTTTATGGCACGTTAGAGGAGTTATCGTCGACGTTTACCAAGGAAAATGAATTGTTGCTTATACGCGTTATTTATCTTCTACGGAGAAAAACAGCGTTACGAAAGGTGTGTACAAATGGCTGATAACGTTTTCTATTGTGCAACGAAGACGACGGCTTCTCGAAGGTTCGTTACGATAGTAACGAGGCAACTTTGTACATAGGTACGTCACTGGCAGAGATTATCAGATCCACCGGATGCATTTACTTACAACTTACCAGGCGAAAAAGCTTATTACGACAGATACCGCTATCAAAATTCACGCGATTAACGTAGGCGTACCGTGTCAACGCGTTACGTCGCGACGTGAAAAGAGAGCGATTAATTACGTGTATTTCGCGTAAACACGCCTGGACGAATCGCGATTAACCATGCAAACGGTGTTTACCGCGTCGAGGATCCGTTTATGAGACACCTGTGAAACGTCTCGAGTGTCAAAATCTCGACGAGGTGAAAGTGGAAAAATAAAGGAAATTTTTCGTTGATCATTTTCACTCTCGAACATCAATTTTCCCCTTTAAAGTTGAGTTTCTCGTTCGAAATTGTAATTACACGGAGTCCTTTTTAATGATATACACAAATGACATATAACGACTTCCTTATTTTTGTCTGTTTTTGACAGGTACACTCCTCGATTGCGACGTGAAACAGTAAACTTTTATAAATTCTTTTCGCTCTGGAACATCGGTTTCCCCTTTCAAAGTCGAATTTCTTCTTCGAAATTGTAATTACATCGAGGAGTTTTTTATTAATCGATACAAGAGTAGGATGATTTCCCTGTTTGTTTCTCTTTTCGACAGGTACACTCCTCGGTCGCGACGTGGAAAATTCTGCGAACAGGTTGAACTCGAAGCAAGCGAATTTGTCACTATGGAACGTCGGTCTCTTCGTTGAAAGTGGAATGTTTCAGTTGAAAATTATAATTACACCGAGGAATTTTTTTTATTGATAAACACGAGAGGACGATGAATTCCGTAATTTCTTTCTCCTTCGTTTTCGTCGCGTTTCGAGCGATTTTTACAGTGACTTGTGTACAAAACGATTAATCGAAGAAGGCTACTGACCATTTATCTTCATCATTTATCCGCTGTGTTTCACACGTGCATAATCGCTTGCATATTTTTACAACGCTCGCAAGTTCGACGTCCTTGAGATTAATTTCGCTCCGCGAAAGCCGCTTCTTCTTTTTTTCTCGTTTAACTTTGTTTCGCGAACCGCGATCAGGAAAGGAACGATTCGAGCGAGTATTATTAGCCCGCGCCTATCGACGTGTAGACGAGTTGACATAGTTACGATTACGACGCCTCTGACTTGCTTACAGTACGTTCCTCTTTTTCTCGGCAACTTAATAATAAACTCCTGGGCGTCGCCGGCACGCGATTTTACACCGTTATCTTCTTCGACATTTTCAGATGGAAAGCAGGGAAATATGTTTGAACAACAACGCTCCTTTTTCTGCATTCTTACATTTCGTACTTGTTGCACGTCGCGTTTCCCACTTCCATCCGTTCCTAACCAGTAATTCTGTACGAACAGACGTCACTCTTCAGAACTGACACGAAAGAGCATTTCTTCGCTTAGAAATGAAAAGAAATATTTACCAAGTCGATCACGTGTTATCACGATTACACCATATCAGGTAGGAAAATAAATTCTCCGCAGCCTTGGTCTATTTCTAAAAAAAAAACAACAAAAGCAGAAGCTAACGAACGCGAGGTCAGTTTAATATTTAGCAAAAGTAGTATTATTTGTTCGTTTGTACTCTTCGAATCATCGGAACGTCGTAGACCAGATAGAAAAACGCGTTCGCTATGTGATTCAGCGATCTCGTCCAAGCGTCGATCTTGTAATTAATTTCCCTCGAGATCGACAGATCCTCCCTCGATTCTTCCTGCTCCATTATTCTGCAATGTAACAGATAACAGCGAAATTACACGTTTCTTGCTTAATACGCGCTAGAATATCCTTCGACCGGCTACTTGGAAAGATACCTTGGATTCCTCCGAGTAAGAGTAAATATTGAACGTGAAATATTGGAGCGCGAAGTGGTAGATCGCAACGGTGTCTACGTGTTTGCAGAAAGATTAACGAAATTAGCACGTTACCCGTCCACGTCCGATTGTTCCTTGTTCCGATTGGTGTAGGTGTACATGTAGCAGGCTGGATAACCGCTGGTTGTTTTCACTTTGTGAAATTGGCCGGTTTCTATGGGGATCGAGGCTCCTTTCGAGACGACGATACCGTTCTCTTCTTTCTCGTCGCTGTACGTCACCTCGCCTTCCAGTACCGTCAACGTCACGTTCGTTAAATTCTTCGTGATGTAATTGTCCAGATGCATTCCTGGAAAGTCAGCTACGAAGAGAACGTCTGTGTCGTTGGACCATGTGTAAACGTGCTGCTGAATTTCCTCCAATTTGTATCTGAATTTAAAGAACGAAGTAAAAAGTAACAAATTGCTCGGTCGATTTTACAGGGTACGAAATGTAAATTAATTCCACGGTTGGTAATTATGTTTGTTCTCCGACTGATCCAGAGATACCCGAGCGAGCGAATTGTGTTTACATCTACCTGTACGAATTATACTGCGAGAGAAGAGGCATTAAGTACGAGATCGGCTTAAGTGGGTGCCAATCTGCAGTTAGCAAGTCAACACTCGGATCAAACATTCTCTGCTGGAATCTTCCATTCAGCGAGCACCAGACGTCGATGTAGATGCTCAAGTTCGACGACAGTCGCGTCCACTTGGACTTTCTATCTCGCTGGCGATTCTTATCGAACAGCTGACTCTCTTGCTCGATCAGATTGTCCTACGAAAATAAGATTCGCCGTGATAAGGATTGTGAGATCTCTCGAGATCTGAATTTTGTCGGAACTGATGGAGAATTCGCGCATAAACATTCTTTCAGAATTATGTCGTTCGATAATAGGAGTTTATTGGCTGAGATAATACACACTCTCAGACAGAAAGCGTATTGCCTGGCCATATCTCCGTGTTTCTCCCATCGATCCGACTGCACCCATGCGTTTGGATCCAAGTATCGATCCTGGTTGCTCAGGTTGTCGTGGACTTTAATTACGACGAGTATAGTGTCCCAAACGTGGACCATCATGTCCCAGGAGTAACCGTACATTCCTGGCACCCAGTTGTTGTAACCCTGAAATTGGAGAAAAAGTGAATGAGCTCAAAGAGTAATTGGTAGAAAGGATTTGTGGGATTAGAAAGCTGTACCATTGTAATGAAATGTGAATATGGTAAGAAGAACTGTAGAAATACATGAAATAATAGTAGAGAGACTACGAACTTCTGTTTCTTCGTTACTTTAATCGATTTGCAGCTGGCGTCCTTAATACTTTTGCAATTAATCGCAGACCTCCTTGCTTTTATCAGATTCTCTTCGTTCTCGCGTGTTTCTCTGTCTACTTCGTTGCTGGAGTGTTCGTTACTTTTACTGTTCGAAGTTTCGTCGTTGGAAATACGTTTCTCGCGTGTTTCTTCTGGTTGGCTGTTGGAAATTTTCGTGGATTTCCTGGTGTTTCGATTTGTCGCGAGGAACGAAGGGATCAAATTGCGTTTCCGAAGGGAGCCGAACCTTCGAGGCCAGTCTGGACTGCAGAAAAGTGGCATTGTCGCGAGGCACACGTACGGAAACATTCCTGAGAAGGAATATTGACGTTAGTAATCTTGTTGCGATTCGTTTCCAATTGAAACCATCGCGACTATCAATTCTCACCGATACTGAATAATCGAGAGTTCATTAAGTGAAAGGCTGTGCAGAAAATCATTGCAGGGATACGGGTTTTATCGAACAGCATCCAAAATCCGACCGTAAGGTCAAAGATAAAACCAAACCAATGAACTATGAAAAAATCAGTCTGCTCGGTGGTCAAGAATAATCTAGAATTGCACAACGTTTTATCGACTATACAAATTCTATACTTGTGATAACGGTGAAACGTGTGTTTCTCTTTTGTTTCGAGTTACACTCACTTGAACGGGCTGAACACCCAGTGCGTCGAGAGATTTGTCATGGCGTAGCCTGACAGCCATTCCGTGCCGGATTTCTTCAGTCCGGCCAAGAAGTACAGAGCGAAAAATTGGAACTTCAGAATGAAGTAATTCCACAGCGGCACCGTGCTCTTCGTTCCTTTCCATCTTCTCGCATCCAATGCTCTGCAAAATTATTGTTCGTTAATTTCCAGCCTTTTGCCGCTAATTTTAAATCGCAAAATTCGCAAGTTACAGAAATTTCATAGTAAACCTCTTCTTCGCAAGAAATTTAGGAATGAACAAAATTTCAAACGGTAGAAATGGCGAAATTTCGGAAATGTCATAATGAACCTCTTCTCCCGCCAAAAAATTTGGAAATAACGGAACTTCAAACGGTCAGAAATGGCGAAATTTCAGAAATTTTTAAATTAGGGTGAAATATCTTTTCAAAAGTTAAGAATTAAGTTGAAATTTTCCACAGGATCTGTCTCAAAAATATTTGATTCGAAGTTATCGAGTCGTTTTAGTTAATATTTACAATGATCCCGACTCACGTCTCCGATCAGGAGCCAGTTTCCCCATTCAGATTTCCTTTCAAACTCACAAGTACTTGTTAGCCTCCGTACCCCAGAAGAGAACGGCAACGATCCCGTAGAGATACGTGTGATTGTTCCAGTAGCTCTTATCCAGCAGGAAGATGTACCAATAAGGGATAACGAAACAGGCGCAGGCTAGTTTGAACCGGAAGCCGAGCATAATTCCGAAAGCTCCGATCCACATTATCGTGTAAATCAGTATCATCCATGGTAACGAGGGAGGTTTCATTCCGTGGATAAGTGGAAAATGGCAGTCCCTCGGATCTCCCCATTTTATATCGACGTCTGCTAATTCTCGTTCCTCCACGACGTCCAAAACCATGCATAATCCTAGATAGAATTTTCTGAAGTTACGCTATAATTAAATTTCTTCGAAGCTAGGATAAATTTCATTTCTTCTGTATTTGTTGTAATAATTGTATAACTTTCGTGTGCTTACCAAAAAGTGCTCGGGCAACTCCTAAACTAGCTGAATCAGCTGGTCTGTACAAAAGTGCGGTAAATTTGTGAAAGGACGAGAGATCACTTGGGCTAAATCCGCACAATTTTTCGAATTTATCCCTGATGGAGTATTTTAGTGGAAAGTTCTGCTTATCGTGTTTTTCACACTCGTTTCTGATTTCTGAGGTGCAGGCTTGGGAGCTGACTAGCTGATTACTTTTCCTCCGCATAATCGGTGAACCATTGAACTGGGGATAATAAGAGTATCTGTGTATTCTGGTGCACCTTATTTCGAGGAGCAAAATTATCGTTCTGTTAATCGATGCCGTAATTGGTCAACGTGAGACACTGAAACTGAATTTTTATTCGAGAAAATTGATCGATATGAGATCTAGAACTAGAATCGTTGAATTCTCATGTAATCGGTGCACCATTGGACTAAAAGTAATAAAAATATCAGTAAAATCTAGGGTGCCGTGTTTTAAGTATCAAAATCATTCCCTCGTCCTTTAATTGCTCAATCAACATGACACATTCTCGCCTGAATCTAATATGACACAGAGAACCACAAAAATCCTCAAATCATCAGTTCTTAATTATGAAAGGTGAGCAAAGAGACGAATCCAGAAGGCGGCAGTGCGAGCAAAAGTGAACGTACCACCGAGTGTCGCCGAGACCGAGGCAAATGCGCCAAGTTGTTCAGAATAGAAGGCAAATCGGACGGTTCGTAGTGAGTTGAAAGTACTTAGGACTTACCTAGGAGGCTAGAAGCGGCGTGTCGAAGCCCGGGTAGATGAAACCGGTCCAATGGCGATGTATCGAAGGTTGCTCGACTTCTGCGCGTCGCAGCTGCAGGACTAGTCGTAGCAGAAGAAATTCCGGAGGCTGAGAGAGAGCAGGAGCACCGTCGCCAGGCAACGTGCTCGATTATTGACCCGCGCCCGCGCAATAATAATATATTATCGGGCATTCTTGTGCACTGCACTCAGGTTCATCGATGCACACTATCGGTCGATACTCGAAAAAAGCAATGGTCAACCGTTCGCCACGATAACAACGGCGAAACTTATCGGAGACTTTGTCAGCGAAACACCTTTTTCTGGAAGATCTTCGGGAGGGTAGGTACATCTTTGAGAAAATCTAGCGGGGGAACTTTCTACTTGGAAATTTCACGCTTTGGGACACTAAGGTCGATCGAATTTGCGAAAATTTAATTGGTAGGATGTATCGAGTTACTTAAATTTCTTTCCTTTGGTGGAAGTGAAGGTAGTTTTTGGGAGATTATGAAGTTCCAACGAAGCAGGTTTTCGATAGGTTGGAAATATTTTATGACAATGCTTGAAACGTTGGTTAACCACGTTCCACGTTTGCGCGATTCTGTTTAAAAATAAATTATCGACGTCCACTTATCTCGGTCATTACTAGTGCAGCGTGTAATTATATAACAATGTCCGAGAAATTAACAAATGTTTTGAACGCAGAAGTGGCAGTCTTTTTTTGCACGTTTCAATCTTTTGTCGCGATAAGGGGAAAGCTGAGCGTGTTATGTTCGATCATTTTGCAGATAGGTGTGTTTCGTGAAATGGTACGCCGAAGAATGATCTCCTATTAGCAGTTTAACCTGCGAATAACGACGTGCCTTAGTCATCGAGATCGATAGAAGAGGGGTGCGAGATAATCAGATTCTCGAAGGAGAGAGTGTTGTACGCGGAATCCTTACGTTTCATCAAGACGGTCCTGAGGGATCCAGGTTCGAGCTTCGAAACATTAATTCGAATCGTTTCCAGTACGATGCGTCGCTTAACCCTTTCCCTTTAACGCATTGATGAATCGTTGACACATTTAGTCTTCCATCTTGCCAGCCTTCCAATTTAACAGATAATCGTCATTAAGTTTTTTTACTTTCAGAGTACTTCCTTTACTTCTCTTTAATTTCAGAATATTTCTTTCATCTCTCCTTAATTTCAGAGTATTTCTTTTATTTCTTTCTACTTCCAGAATACTTCTTTCATTTTTTCTTTAAATTTCAGAATATTTCTTTTATTTTCTCTTAATTTCAGAATACTTCTCTGATATCTGACTAATAATCGAAATGCAATAATCACGAAAGCTTCTTCAAATAACGGATATAGGACGAATTTTGCACAGCTCCCTGGTTCCCCATAAAAATAGATTTCCCCAAAACGTAGACTCGGGGGCACGTCATAGCGGTATAATACGTATTAGAGAACAACGATTACGCAGTTTTTGAATGAGCCAACGAAGCCTTTTCGACCTCGCAGCTGGGGTGTTTTTAATGAATGGACGTAACTTCGCGTTCGAAATCCCCAACGGCCGTTTTAGAGCCGTAAAACAAAGGGCTGATTTATTCCAGCACGCCCCTCAATCTGTCTCCGCGGACCACTTTTGATTAGTGCTGCCTCTTCAAGGTTCAAGCCTCTAAAACTGCCATCTCGTAATGGACCGTCGTCTCACTTGCTCGCCGCGATACGTCTTCGAGATAAAAGCGCGGGGGAAACGAATCGGCGAGGTTAGAAGTGTAATAATCTACTAGAAACTTTTGCGTATATTCTGTCTTTCTCGAACATACTGAAATCACGTTTCTCAACACTTTCCTTGCCTTGGATCACGTTGCAAATTCCTCAAAGTAACATACAATTCAAATTCTTAAATTTGGCGCCATCTAAATTTTTTATCTTCCTCAAACATACTGAAATCACGGTTTTTTAACACTTTTCACGCGTCAAATTACGTTACCGATTGCTCAAAATAATATCCAGGAGAAGTGAGTTTCTGTCTTCCTCAAACACACTCAAATCATACTTCTCAACACCTTTTATGCATTAAATTACTTTTCAATATAACATCTGCAATTCAAATTCTAAATTTCTCATCAAGTGAATTTTCTATCTTTCTCAAACATACTCAAATCATACCTCTTAACACTTTCCACGCGTCACATTACGTTACAGATTGTTCAAAATAACACCTGCAATTAAAATTCTAAATTTGTCACAAAGTGGATTTTCTACCTTTGTCAAACACCTACAAACCTTCTTTTTAACCTTTCTCATACGCTGCGTTATCACCTAAAGAAGATTAAAACATATAATTCCCGAAGCTCTTCGTAATTTCCCATCTTCATCGAACGAACCACTCGAACCAGCTAATAAATTCAAAACGCCACTAAACTCGAGAAGACGTCGCAACATCATGTACAAACACAATTCGAACAATTTTCCCCGGCAGCCCATTGGAAAATGAGACGCGACGGGACACGTGAGCGAGGAAATTAACGCCGTTATTTGCTCACGGGCACACACAGAGAGAGAAGTGGAACCCCATCAGCCCCCGCGCGATATTTGCCGAGCGTATTTGTTCGGGAATATGAATCAGTCCACCTGGAAGCGCGCAAGATGAGAATAGGAGTGAGCGAGAGTGATTGAACGACCGGTGAGAGAAGAGGAGACGAGACGAAAGGAGATCCGCGATTGTCGTATGTATTTGCCCGGCTATTTATCACGGTTTATTATTTCCTATTGTCGATGGAGTCACGCATTGTTGGCAGACGAGGAGGGCCGCAGCGAATTTCTAAAACCGTGTCCGATCGGATTTGCATATTTCGCCCGGGGACGCGTGTCTGGCGTCCGATTACAGGCCCTATTAATTGCGGTTCCGCATTGTTCTCCCCGATAACCGATCCCGATACCAATTTCTAGCCCTCCTTCGCTCCTCCTTCCTGCGTCGACTCGGCTTTTCCAGCTTGCCTTCGATTATCAAGCACTCTGGAACCTTTTCATTCTCCGACGTTCTCGTCTGGACGAAATTAACGCTTTGAAAGTTCGATCGCGGAGAGATTGCAAGAGTAACGGTGTGAGATTTCTTTATCTTTTTTAGGAAGTATTGTTGTTTGTTGTATGACGAGTAGTTTGAAGGGTCGAAGGTGAACGTGCTTGGACGTAACAGAATGGCGCGAGAGAAGGTTTCGATACGTTATTCACGAAATCTCGATCGAAAGCCCAGCTGCATTAGGCGAGCGCATATTCACGTGGAAAGCAGAAGAGCCAAAGGATTCTGTGGAAAGCTCTTTATATTTGACAGAACAATGGGGTTGATGTGGCGCGTGTCTGACACAGAGTAACCTATATTCGTGGTATTCAAAAGTTTCTTCTGTAGGCATTTTGGGACGGTTTATGGCTTGGCCTGCGCCTCTTGGCGAGTGACAAGCACCAGACGGGAGTACCCATCGGTTCGGCCCAGCGATATCTTTGCCATTCGACGGGAGTCGGTTCTTAGCTTCGGTAATAGAGTCCGAAATAAACTACTTTGCACGACATCCTGATTTGAGTAAAGTTCATTAGACCACCTCCTACACTTCGTGCAAATAGAACATAGTACACCGTGAAACAACTTTCTTTCTTTCACATTACGTTAAACAAGTTTCTCGTCACATTTTATCAACCTACGTTATACGTACATTTCGTGATTTTCGTAAGAATTAAAGGTCCGATCGGTGAAGGGCGGGAGATTTAAATGGGAAAAAACGTTCCTCGTAAAGAATCGCACTGGTAACGATCACAGGGCGGCAAGTTCAAATGGGGGATAAGGAAAGGGGTGGGGTGAGATGTATAGTGTGGAGTGGGTAAAAAAATCCAGCATAAAATTAACAGTATACAGCTTGCAGAATGCAGTTTGTTGCTCACCGGCAATATTTCACGATGGTCTCTCCCGCGAAGAGAGAGAGAGGGTTCGTTCTCGAGGGGGGTGTGCAACAATGGAACCCTTTACCCAGCCCCTAGCGCCCAGCCAACATCCATACATCATCATTCATACTGGAAAAAAAACCTGGGGGCACCTATGGCAGTCTACGGTGGAGGGGCCTTCGAAATTTCAAAGTACCGAGTACGCATCAAGTACTTTCTAATGCTACGCGGGATTTTTCGTTCGCCTCGTTCACGAGGCTCGAGTTGCACCTTTAACAGTGGCAACTTTCTTACTTGCTCTTGTGTATCGTATTAATTAAACTGTGATATATTCGTTTCGACGCTTCTGATGATAATTCTTGCTTCTTTTTTTTTTTTTTTTTTCTTGTATTTTGGCGAAGAGGAAGTGAAAATTGCGGTGAACGATGAGTGACGGTTAAATGAACGAAATTATAGCGGACAATGAAAAAATGATGAGTGGTAGATAAGGAAAAGATTTTCGTTTCTTTATTTTCATAAATAGAAAT